TGAATAATCCTTTTAATGCACTGTGGGATCCTATTGCCTAGTATTTTGGTGAGAATTTTGGCATCCATGTTCATCAGGGGTATTGATCTCTAAATCTCCTTCTTGGCGGGGTTTTTGTCTGATTTTGGGATCAAGGTAATGCTGGCCTTATAGAACGTGTTTGGAAATTTTCCTTCCAATTCTATTTTTTAAAACAAGTTCAGTAGAATAGGTATTATTTCTTCTTTAAATGTTTGATAGAATTCCTCTGGGAAACCATCTGGCCCTGGAGTTTTGTTTTTTGGGACGTTTTTGAATACTGCTTCAATTTCCTTTCTGATTATGCATCTGTTCAGGTTTTTTATTTCTTCCTGTTTCAGTTTTGGTAGTTTCTAAGTTTCTAGATTGCCTAATTTGTTGGTATATAGTTACTCATAATATGTTCTTATTATTGTCTGTATTTCCTTGGTGTTGGTCATGATCTCTCCCCTTTCATTCATGATTTTATTAATTTGGGTCCTTTCTATTTTCTTTTGGAGAAGTCTGGCTAGAGGTTTATCTATCTTCTTAATTCTTTCAAAAAACCAGCTTCTAGTTTATCTGTTCTACTGTTCTTCTGGTTTCTATTTAATTGATTTCTGCTGTAATATTTATTATTTCTCTTCTGTTCAGTTTAGGCTTTATTTGCTGTTCTTTCTCCCACTCCTTTAGGTGTAAGATTACCTTGTGTATTTGAGACTTCTAGTTTCTTGAGAAAGGCCTGTATTCCAATGTACTTTTCTCTTAGGACTGCCTTTGCTGCATCCCAAAGGTTTTAAACATTTGTGTTTTCATTTTCATTTGTTTCCATGAATTTTCTGAAATTCTTCTTTAATTTTCTGGTTGACCTATTCATTCTTTATTAGGATGCTCTTTAACCTCCAAGTGTTTCAGTTCCTTCCAAATTTCCTCTTGTGATTGAGTTCAAGTTTCAAAGCATTGTGGTCTGAACATATGCAGGGAATAATCCCAATCTTTTGGTACTGGTTGAGACCTGATTTGTGACCCAGTATGTGATATACTCTGGAGAAGTTCCATGTGCACTCGAGAAGAATGAGTATTCTGTTTTTTAAAGAGGGAATGTTCTGTATATATCTTTGACATCCATCTGGTCCAGTGTGTCTTTCAAAGCCCTTGTTTCCTTGTTGTTCTTCTGCTTAAATGATCTGTCCGTTTCTGTGAGTTGGGTGTTGAAGTCCCCTACTATTTGTGTATTATTATCAATGTGTTTATTTACTTTGGCTATTAATTGGTTTATATAATTGGCTGCTCCCATGTTGGGGGCATAAATATTTACAATTGTTAGATCTTCTTGTTGGATAGACCCTTTAAGTATGATATAGTGTCCCTCTACATCTCTCACTGCATTCTTTGGTTTAAAATCTAATATTTCTGATATGAGGATTGCTACCTCTGCTTTCTCTTGAGGTCCATTAGTGTGGTAAATTTTTCTCCACCCCCTCACTTTCAGTCTGGAGGTGTCTTTAGGTGTAAAATGAATCTCTTGTAGAGAACATATTGATGGGTCTTGCTTTTTTATCCAATCTGTTACTCTGTGCCTTTTGATGGGAGTATTCAGTCCATTTACATCCAGAGTAACTATTGGAAGATATGAACTTAGTGCCATTGTATTGCCTATAATGTCCCTCTTTCTGTAATTTTCTCTATTTCTCTCTGGTCTATGTTACTCTTGGGCTCTTTCTTTGGTTACAGGATCCCCCTTAATATTTCTTGCAGTGCTGGCTTAGTGGTCACATATTCTTTCAGTTTCTGTCTGTACTGGAAGCTCTTTATCTCTCCTTCCATTCTGAATGACAGTCTTGCTGTGTATTTATTCTTGGCTTCATATTTTTCTCATTTAGTACCCTGAATATATCATGTCCGCCCTTTCTGGCTTACCAGGTTTCTGTAGACAGGTCTGTTGTTAGTCTGATGTCCCTCCATCTGTAGGTAAGGAGACTTTTGTCTCAAGCTGCTTTCAGGATTTTCTCTTTCTCTAAAATTTGTAAGCTTCACTATTATGTTGGGGTGTTGATATATTTTTATTGATTTGGGGAGGCATCCTTTCTACCTCTTTGACTTGAATGCTTGTTTCTTTTCCCAGATTAGGGAAGTTCTCAGCCATTATTTGCTCAAATATACCTTCTGGCTCTTTCTCTCTTTCTTCCCCCTCAGGCACCCCAATAATTCTGACATTGGTATGGCATTATTAATTTCTTGAATCCTTTTTTCATGAGCTATTACTTATTTTTCTTTATTTTCCTCAACTTCCTTCCTTTTCTTAAGCCTGTCTTGCTTACTCTCTCTTCTGCTTCATTCACCCTAGCTGTTAGAGTATCTAATTTAGACTGCATCTCAGTGCATATTTTTAAAAAGATCTTTATTCATTTTATTTGAGAGAGAGAGAGCATGAGCACAAGTTGGGGGGAGAGCAGAAGGAATGGGAGAAGCAGACTTCCCACTGAGCAGGGAGCCTGATGTGGGGCTCAATCCCAGGACTCCAGGATTATGACCTGAGCCAAAAGCAGATGCTTAACCAACTGAGCCACTCAGGCACCCCACACTTAGTGCATTTTAAATTTCAGCCTGATTAGATCTCATTTGTTCACTAAGAGATTCTCTACTGTCTTTTATGCTTTTTTCAAGCCCAGGTATTAACTTTATTATTGTTATCCTGAATTCCATCTCTGACCTTTTACTTATATCCATATCAATTGGATCTGTGGCAGAGAACATTACTTCTTGTTCTTTCTTTTGTTGTGAATTCCTCCTTTTAGTGATCTTGCCCAGAGAAGAATGGATGAGCTCATGAACCGAATCAAAAATATCAACCACATTCCAAGCAAAATACACACTAGACAAATCTGAAGAAGTCAGAAACCAAAACAGATAAGCAAAATAAAACAAAACAACAAAAAGGGGGGGAAAGAATATAATCTCACAGGGTGGACAAAACATACTGGTCCACTTGTTCCTGAGTGAATTTTGGTCTCTGCGTTAGAATACTCTAAATCCCAAAATTGCAAAGAAAGCAAAACTTACATATATACAAAGTTAAAATTGAATAAAGTGAAAAAAGGCCAAAATGAAAAATATATCTAAAAAATATAGATGTAAAAAATAAATGTTAAAAAGCAACTTAAAAACAAATCATTGATAAAATAAGAAACTAGTTGAAAAGAGAAAAAGGGGAAAAAAAGGAAAAGAAAAATTTTGGACTGAAAGATAAGTGAATCATGAGAAAAAAACCTCGAGTTCTTAAACAATTTTTTTTTTAAGATTTTATTTATTTATTTGACAGAGAGAGGCACAGCGAGAGAGGGAACACAAGCAGGGGGAGTGGGAGAGGGAGAAGCAGGCTTCCCGCCGAGCAGGGAGCCCGATGCGGGGCTCCATCCCAGGACGCTGGGATCATGACCTGAGCCGAAGGTAGACGCTTAACGACTGAGCCACCCAGGCGCCCCAAAACCTCGAGTTCTATATACTATATTCCCCTAGCCCTGGAGTATTACAGTTTTGTGGGATCCATAAGCTAGTTGTGCACCTGTTCTTCCAATTGGTCTACTGAGGGAGGGGCCTGCTATGCTGCTTCTCAGGTGTTTTTGCCTATGCAGAGTTGCACCTCCCCTTGCAAGGGGGCTGGGCTCACCATAAGCTGGTCCTCTGTGTGGCTTTTGTTCCCTAAAGGCTTTCCGCGCCTCTTTAGATGATCAAAATAAAGATGGCCCTCAGCTGACCTCCAGCTCCAGAGCCAAAATTCACAGTCCTCCCTCTTCAGTAAACCCACTGGGATCAACAGTGTTCACTTTTGTGTGTACTAAACTCCAAAGACTCCTTCGGTGTGTGCCCACAGTGATCCTCCTGGGGGGAAATCTGAGGGTCCCATGTTATTGCCCTTTGTTGTGCCCTGACGCTGAGAGCAGTCACAGGATCATTGCATGTACCTGCTCCACCTCTCCTGGGGGATGGCTGAGTGTCACCATACTGTCCTTTATGAGCCCGCCACCCTGAAACTATTGCCTGGTTGTGGGCACACCCGTTCTGTCCCTCCTGGAGGATGACAGATGGTCTGCACGGTCCAGTCCTTTGCAGGGTTCCCAGGCAGCAAGCAGTCACTTGATGGCCCAGTTTGCAGTTTATGGTGACCAGAGCTAGGAGTCCCCTCCTGGGCTCGCTGACCATAACCAGTTTCTCCACCCCACTGCTTAGGCACTCTATTGGCTCAGGCATCCCCGTTAGTTCTATGACTTCTAGGATCCTGAGACCACACTGACCCACCTAGAATTCTGTCCTTTCCATCCCCTGAGCCCCTTCAGACAGGGATGTCTCTCACTGGAGCAGATTTCTAAAGGTTCTGAATTTATCCTCCAAGGCTATATCACTTTCTGGTAGCTAGCTTATGGAGGCTCCCTCCCCCCTCTGTTTATCTCTTGATATCTCCCCAAAGATTCACATCTCCACACCTCCTACCTTGCAAAAAGCAGTGGATTTTGTAACTGTAGAGTTCCAGATATTTTTTTCTTACATCTTAGGCTGAGTTCATGGGTGTTCAGAATGGTTTGATAGTTATCTAGTTAAATTCAAGGGTCCAGATGAAATGAGGTACCCTACTCTACTGCCATCTTGCTTCAGTTAATTCACTCATAACTGAATTCACCATGTGAAACACTGACAACTCTTTATACTTTTTCCTTTTGTATACTTTAATACTTTATATCAGTGAGTTACACTTGTTACCATAAAATGCCATGAACTGAAAAGCTCTCAGACCATCTTAAAGCACAACTCTCTAATTTTACAAATTCATGGAGATGTTAAGCAATTTGTTTGTGGTCACAATACTAGTTACAGACAGATTCGAGACTTAGAACTTAAGTCTTCTGACACCTATTTCTGAGCTGATCCTCTGTCATGTGGCTTCAACAGATTGAACACTGGTCTCATTACGTAAGTTAAAATATGTTTCATTGTATGTTTTCTAGGGTCAAAGTATTTTTGGACTTGATGTCATTGAAACACCAGAAGGGGACAAGATGCCACAACTGATTGTTCAAAAGGAGTTAGATAGGGAAGAGAAGGATACATATATAATGAAAGTAAAGGTTGAAGATGGTGGCTTTCCTCAACGATCCAGTACTGCTATTTTGCAAATAAGTGTTGCTGACACAAATGACAACAGCCCAGTCTTCAAGGAGGATGGGATTGAAGTTAATATACCAGAAAATGCTCCTGTAGGTACTTCAGTGACACAACTCCATGCAACAGATGCCGACATAGGTGAAAATGCCAAGATTCACTTCTATTTCAGCAATCTAGTCTCCAACATCGCCAAGAGGCTATTTCACCTCAACACCACCACTGGACTTATCACAGTCAAACAACCACTGGATAGGGAGGAATCATCAAACCACAGGTTACTGGTTTTGGCAAGTGATGGTGGATTGATGCCAGCAAGAGCAATGGTTCTAGTAAATGTTACAGATATCAATGATAATGCCCCATCAATTGACATAAGATACATCATTAATCCAATCAATGGCACTGTGGTTCTTTCAGAAAATGCTCCCCTCAACACCAAAATTGCTCTCATAACTGTGACAGATAAAGATGCTGACCACAATGGCATGGTGACATGCTTCACAGATCATGAAGTCCCTTTCAGATTAAGGCCAGTATTCAGTAATCAGTTCCTCTTGGAGACTGCTGCATATCTTGACTATGAGTCCACAAGAGAATATGCCATTAAATTACTAGCTGCAGATGCTGGCAAACCTCCTTTGAATCAATCATCCATGCTCCTTGTCAAAGTGAAAGATGAAAATGACAATGCTCCTGTTTTCACCCAGCCTTTCATAAGTCTTTCTCTTCCTGAGAATAACTCTCCTGGCACCAAGTTGACAAAAATAAGTGCAACGGATGCGGACAGTGGGCACAGTGCTGAGATCAATTATCTGCTAGGTGTTGATGCTCCATCTGAATTTAACCTAGATAATCATACAGGCATTCTGACTGCAGTGAAGAAACTGGATAGAGAAAAACGGGAAAAATATTCCTTCACAGTTCTGGCAAAAGATAATGGGATGCCATCCTTAATAACCAATGCCACAGTTTTAGTGACCATTCTTGATCAGAATGACAACAGTCCAATTTTTACTCACAGTGAGTACAACTTCTATGTTCCAGAAAACCTTCCAAGACATGGCACAGTAGGACTGATCACTGTAACTGATCCGGATTATGGAGAAAACTCTGCAGTCACTCTCTCCATTTTAAATGTGAATGATGACTTCACCATTGATCCACAGACTGGTGTTATCCAACCAAATATTTCATTTGACAGAGAAAAACAAGAATCTTATACTTTCTATGTAAAGGCTGAGGATGGTGGTAAGGTATCACATTCTTCAACTGCCAAAGTGACGATAAATGTGGTTGATGTCAATGACAACAAACCAGTTTTCATTGTCCCTTCTTCCAATAACTCCTATGAATTGGTTCTACCATCCACTAATCCAGGCACAGTGGTCTTCACGGTACTTGCTGTTGACAATGACACTGGCATGAATGCAGAGCTTCATTACAGCATTGTAGGAGGAAACACAAGAAGTTTGTTTATAATTGACCAAACAACAGGCAACATCACACTAACAGAGAAATGTGTCGTTACAGACCTTGGTTTACACAGATTGATAGTTAAAGCTAAGGACTTAGGACAACCTGAATCTCTCTTCAATGTTGTTATTGTTAATCTATTTGTGAATGAGTCAGTGACCAATGCTACATGGATTCATGAACTGGTGCACAAAAACATTGAAACACCAGTGACCCCAAATATTGAGACAACTGATGCATTCTCACCCACCAGTGACTATGTCAAGATCATGGTTGCTATTATTGCTGGCACCATAACTGTCATCCTTGTTATCTTCATTACTGCTGTAGCAAGATGCCATCAATTGCCACACATTACGGCTGCTCAGAAAAACAAGCAGAATTCTGAATGGGTTACTCCAAACCCAGAAAACAGGCAGATGATAATGATGATGATGATGAAGAAGAAGAAAAAGAAGAAGAAGAGGAAGAAGAAGCATGCCCCTAAAAACTTGCTGCTTAACTTTGTCACTATTGAAGAAACTAAGGCAGATGATGTTGACAATGATGGAAACAGTGTCACACTAGACCTTCCCATTGAACTAGAAGAACAAACCATGGGCAAGTACAACTGGGGCACTATACCTACAACATTCAAGCCTGACAGCCCTGATTTAGCCAGGCACTACAAATCTGCCTCTCCACAGCCTGCCTTCCATATCCAGCCTGAAACTCCCCTGAATTCAAAGCACCACATCATCCAGGAACTGCCACTTGATAACACCTTTGTGGCCTGTGATTCCATCTCTAAGTGTTCCTCCAGCAGTTCTGATCCTTACAATGTTTCTGAGTGCAGCTATTCAGTGACAACTTTCAAAACTCCTGTGTCTGTACACACTAGACTGGTAGGTAATCCAAGTTTCTAACTAACCTTTTTAACTTTATTTTATTTTTTAAAATTATTTTCAGTTGAAGTAGAACTTTACAGAATCTATTGTATTGACTCTAACAATCAAAATGACTATATTCTGCAGAAGTATCAAAATAAATACATGGCTTCATTTTAAGTTTGATAGAAAATCATGGTAAAATGACTCCTGATGGTAGGAAAATTTGGTTCTGAATGATGACTATAACAGGGGCAGTGTTGTCTGCAGATGGAAGTATGACACATCTTGCTAGAGAATATACTTGAAAGACCTTAGAATAAAGGTCCTGGCTTCTGTCCTCAGTATCATTATGTGCATGAGGATCAAAACAGTCAGGGCTAGATACATCACAGTAAAGCTTTTTAGAATCTGGTAAGAAGGTCTTGGTGTTTAATGGAGTTGAGAATCCCAGCTTCACTTGGGAAAAACTGTGTCTACTCAGGAAAATAAAATAGCATCAATATATCCTCCCTACCCATATGCTCCCAAACTGCCACAATGAAAAGAGAATGTTATTTTTAGATTAGGAACCCACCTTTATTCTGTTTCATAAAATCTTTATTTACACAATGTAACAAGAATAGGATTAGAAAAATAAAGACATGCTGCTCATTCTTATCTTCAAGCCAAAACATGAAATATATATGAGATCTCTATTTTGGACATCAATCTAAGTATTTGCATATTTGTCCAAGGTATTGAAAGCCCTCCAGGAGACACTCTTAAAAGATAATGACTTTTGGATAAGAAAATATGTTTGCTTTCTTTAATGGGCCTGAAGGAAAGTATGGGCATATTAAGACCTAAGAAATCTATGTATAATAATTTAAAACCCAATAAACTTATGAAAACAAGAGCTTATACAGTGATTTTTATCTATATTCTGTGGATAAATGATTACAAATTTATCTAGAAATTCATAAGTAAATTAAGTGATTTAAGGATGGTTACTTCTTTAATAAAGTCAAGCAATAGCATTTATCTACATCTTTTCTCTTGAAATTATATCACATGTTGATTTTATTGTTTTGTCTGTGTTACTTTTAAAAAAGATCTTCATCTCTATTTCAGTGAATAAAGTTTTTTGAAAACCTATTCAGGCTTAATAAAATGGTTGTAATGTTGAAATCAAACTGGGTATCTTCTCACCAAAGTTAGAAATACTAAAGAAATCTATCAGAATTCAAAATAACAATGAAGATAATAATTTACCATAATTTAGGAAATGGTTTTAAGATCGAGGTCATTCAAGAATATGCATATTTAAATGATACAATAACATTATCCATTCTTAATCACACAGTGAAAGTAAGATACCACTCCAGTTGTGGGTGCATTTTTGTTACAATAGGTCCATAATTATGCTATTGCAGACAGTAAAATAGAACCCTATTCTTTGTATAGAGAGTTCTGTTATGCTTTGAATGAGTTTACAAGGTACAAGGTGTGAGATGCCTAACATCTCCTCAAGGTTTGTTTTTATTTATATGTAATCATTTATAAAGGTGCTATCATTTTCTAATTTTACTGCTATTATTTTATTATAAACATTTCTCAATAGGAAATTATTTTTTATGAACAATTTCTGTGTGTTGTGTATCTTGTGTGTGTGTGTGTGTGTGTGTGTGTGTGTTGTGTATCTTAATAACACTTTCCCCTGGACTAAATTTGTAGCTCACTTAAAAATGTATACAAAGCGGGCATGGTTTGTGAATTACATTAGCAGATTATCATTGTGCTAGATTGGCTCATGAAGTTTGTTAAAAGAGTAAATTCTGGTTTCAACGGTTTTTGAAGGCATGGAGATGTTTTATGGGTTAGATTTATTATACTTGAGAATATAAATGTACAGTAAGCAAGGCATAAATGAAGAAAAAATGAAATATTTTCCAAATATCCTCCTCTTTTTATTTGTATTTTTTGATATTTTGTAATTCTTAAAAAGTCAAATAAATTAACAACTTTTTCCACAATGACATTTTCTTTTATTTAGCTAAGAGATCTTTTCCTAAACACAGGACAAATAACTTCATGAGATAGGCAAAATATGAAAAGTAAATGCAAATTAGAATAACTTCTTTGTTATCACTAGGTTTTTATTAGCTAAAAGGACCATCCTACAATCAATTTTCAGATGACTTATTTTATTTTTTCACATCTTAAAAAATAGATAAATTATATATTTTCTGTCATTGGTTCACATTACTAAATTACTAAATATCTGCTGGACATGAATTGGTGAACTTAGGCAAATTAATATAATATTAGAAATAATTTGGTTCTTATATTTTGTGCTACATTTGCATATTCTTCATCCTTTCTATATATTCTTCAATTTCTGATTAATGCCAGGAGAGGCATCTTATATTTACTGACGTCGCAGAATGCTAAGATAAGTGAGCACTGAAGAATAATATATGTATTTAAAACTTTTGGGCGCCAGGGTGGCTCAGATGGTTAAGCATTTGCCTTCTGCTCAGGTCATGATCCCAGACTCCTGGGATTGAGTCCCGCATTGGGCTCCCTGCTCAGCGGGGAGCCTGCTTCTCCCTCTGCCTCTCTCTCTCTCTCTGTCTCTTATGAATAAATAAATAAAATCTTTAAAAAAAAAACTTTCAATATTGGAGGTGTGTTCTTTTTAAAGAAACATCACACAAAATGGGGAAAAGTGTCAACCAACACAACAAAAATTCATTGGAAATTCTGACAATGAAATAAAATATTATTGTTAGCAGAGGGCAAAACTGTTCCAATTGATTTGAAACAAAGTGTAAAGTACATTTTCAAAAGGAAACTTTGGGGTGATATTTACATTTAGCTCATCATTCACTTAAATAGAAAATGAAAGTGAAGAAGTGAAATGGTTGTAATAGGCTGTAATATATAAGAAGATTTATGAGAAATTTCATGTTTTCAACAGGGAATCAAATATTTTCTATAATTATTTTGACTCAGATGTTCTGAAAAATGATAGAGTATTCATTAGAAATATATCTGAAAAAAAAAAAGAAATATATCTGTTTGGGGGCACCTGGGGGCTCAGTTGTTAATCATCTGCCTTCGGCTCAGGTCGTGATCCCAGGGTACTGGGATCAAGCCCCACATCGGGCTCCTTGCTCCACCGGAAGCCTGCTTCTCCCTCTCCCACTCCCCCTGCTTGTGTTCCTGTTCTCGCTATCTCTCTCTCTGTCAAATAAATAAAATCTTTAAAAATAATTGAATTTGGAGTCAGTCAACCAGTAACCACTATTTTGTACAATATTTACTAATATATTTGTTTCAACACAAAATAATACTGCCTCATTTTATTATTTTAATGCCTGCACTCATCACTGTTCAATTAGATGTTGTAATTGTGTATCTATATAGGCATGATATGAAGGTTGATCTCAAAAGAAATGATACAGGAAAAGCAGATCTTAAGAAACCTTACATGAAATTAATCCACACCTTGTAAATGTTTCCTATATGTGCTCTTATGTAATAGACAAGTTGTTTTAGATTTTGTTTGTAGCATAGTTTTTGTCTACTTTAAATACTATATAGATTTAAGTATCTAGCATATTCAAAGCTGCTGTGATAATATAAAGCTTTGTGTGTTGTGTATAATTACTATTTTTTAAATTTTTTATTATGTTATGTTAATCACCATACGTTACATCATTAGTTTTTGATGTAGTGTTCCATGATTCATTGTTTGCGTATAACACCCAGTGTTCCATGCAGAACGTGCCTTTTTAAAGAGAACTATTGAGCAATTATTTCTTCATGTATTATGTTTGTTCCTACATTATTTCTGTGGTTTTATGTGGTATTTGAAATAGACATAAAATTCTAAGTTAGTCATAAACTTTTATTTTTATTGCACATGCAATATACCTTCATTGTAAAAAATAAAGAAAATTGTAGATGTATTTATGTGAAGAATTATTTAATTATTTGTTTTTATTTGAAGCTATATTAGTAAGTTTTTCTTTATAACAGTAATTTTGTTTAAAAGTTTCTATAACTTTTGGAAGTGTTGCACTTTAAAATTACAAAGTTATTTTCTTCTTTTTATATTATAAACTATACATGCAGGATTTTTTTTACATATAGTGGTAATTCACTGATTTATTGCATATATTATTTATTTCTATAGATGAATTATTGGACAAATTGATGTAATAGTATAGTTTGATTAGTTAAAAGTGTAATACAGAGGCATACTATATATTACCACCACAAGACTAACCTCCATTCACTGAAAATACCAAGTTTGATGAAAAAAAATTTTTTTTAAAGATTTATATATTTTAGATAAAGAGAGCACAGGGGAGAGGAGCAGAGAGAGAGGGAGAGAGAGTCTGAAGCCGACTCCACGCTGAGAGTGGAGCCCAGTGCAAGGCTTGATCTCGTGAGCCCTGAGATCACAACCTGAGCTGAAATCAAGAGTCAGACAATTAACCAACAGTGCCACCCAGATCCCACCCCCAAAAAAAGTTTAAAATTAAAAAGAATGCCATTTAAATTTCTGCCAAAAGTTCCTTTAGAACAACCAAGTTAGGGGCGCCTGGGTGGCTCATTGTTAAGTGTCTGCCTTCGGCTCAGGTCATGATCCCAGCGTCCTGGAATCGAGTCCCGCATCGGATTCCCTGCTCAGCAGGAAGCCTACTTCTTCCTCTCCCACTCCCCCTGCTTGTGTTCCCTCTCTCACTGTCTCTCTTTCTGTCAAATAAATAAAAAATCTTAAAAAAAAAGAACAACCAAGTTATTTAATCATTTCTAGGAATTATAATCAACTTTTACCTTTTCCATATTCTAGCTAATCTCAATCCAAATTGCTTTAAACTGTCTCTTTTTTAAGTGATTAAGTATATTGGATTATCCACATATACAGATACTATTCATATAGGAGTAAAATTTTTTTGTCAAGTAAAAAAATCACATTGCATTAGGTTTCAGGTAGTCAAAATGATGTAATAGTGAAAAAGAAG